GGCATGCCATCCCACCGAAATCCCTCCCCTCCCCTCCCCAAACCCTAACCCTTCCTGGGCTCCACCCCCCCCTCCCCAATCTCCAGGTATTTCTCAACCTGGAGCTGGCAACCCCAGCAAGGGGGCAGAGCCAGCCATACCTTCAGTCATACACAGTGAAGATCTTTCTGCTGTGGCGGTAGCCGCTGCTGCTGAAGCAACATTTTAGAAAATCCGCACAGCCAATCGAATCTCCAGTGGCCAATCAGAAGCTTTGCTGGGCAAAAGCCCCCCACCCCGGGTCTAAAAACATTTGGTGCTTGCCATGGCACCGTGTTGGGGGTCCCTGGTCTAATGGTTCCAAGTTGCACAACCGTGATAGAAAGCAAGAATTCTTTGGGGTTAACTTTAATGGCTGCTCCACCACCAATGACATTAATATTAACCGCCACCACCAATAACAACAACTGAAACTTATAGAGCCCTGGCCCTCGGTTTTGCCACCCACAGCCTGTGCCTGTTGATTATATTAGGGAGAGACCAATGAGCTGAACATCTCGCTAGATCTTGAATATAATTCACACGGCACTGCCATCGTTAAGCAATTAAGCAATTAAGAGATACCGCTAGCACTTTACGATATTGAATTGTTTTATTATTGAATTGTTTTTAGATGATTTTATGATAATTTCAACTGTATTTATGCATTTGCTTTTATATAAGCCGCCCTAAGCCTGCCTCGTCAGGGAGGGCAGGGGTATAAATTGAAAAAATAAATAAATAATGGCTGCCCCACGGTCACAGTGCGCACTCCAGTGAGAATGTAGTTGGGGTGCTCATGTGTCAGAAATTATTGCTTTATAAAGCGCATCCAAAATTAAGTGCAATACATTTGGCAGTCCCTGCCTGCATGTGTGCAAGCCACAGTTTGCGTGCCCTCGCCTGCAGTTTGGGAAACACCTTGGGCTCCGAAGGCCCTGGCAGTACAAACACCAAAAGCGGAAGCTGGGGCCTGCACCAGCAAACCTGACATAAGCCAGGGCATCTCCACGGGACGGAAAGGGAACAGTGATTTAGCAACAAGGTGGCCTGTTAACTAACGGGACCTCAACAGGATTTTGGACAAAACGTTAGTCAGCATACCTGGGCTCTCTTGTAGGGGTTGGGATCCTTAATTGCTGGCAGGTATCTACGCCGGCCCACGATGGTCTGGACAAACCCAACCTGGCTGCACTTCTCCACTGTCTCTTTCAAGAACTTCGGAATACCTGTAAAACCATGGAGTGGTGTTGGCACAGTTGCTAGTTTCGCTAGCAGTTCAGAACATTTTGATTACAGCTCAGCGGCTTGTCTCTTACCCCTCTGCTGGGTGGAACCTGAAGCTTTCCTACAGCCGAAGGGGTCCGCCTCTGACAGAAGCGGCCCAAAGAGGCTGGTGGAAGTCTTCAAACTTAGCCGAGCACAGTGGAAGGATTCAACTAACTCTCTGGAAACTGATGGATGCTGCAAAGGGACCTAAGCGGGAAGGTGTCCGACCAATGCAGTTTTAAGACAGTGGATATGCAATTCAACTTTGGGAGTATCTCTGGAGCACAGAGAATTTCAAAAGTGTCCCATTTCATTTGTACACAACCCACCAAGCACAGTGAGCTGCTGTGATAAGAACAACTTGGGCCATGTGGCTGTCCCCCTTTCCTGACACTGAAGAAGTAGAAGAGACGAGACTGGATTTATACCCCGCCCTTCACTACCCGAAGGAGTCTCAGAGCGGCTCCCAACCGCCGTTCCCTTCCCCTCCCGACAACAGACACCCTGTGAGTGAGGTAGTTGGGGCTGAGAGAGCTCTTTCAAGAACTGCTCTTGAGAGAACAGCTCTGAGAGAACTTGTGACTGACCCAAGGTCACCCAGCTGGCTGCATGTGGAGGAGTGGGGAATCAAACCCAGTCCTCCCAGATTAGAGTCTGCTCTCCTACCCACTATACCGAACTGGCTCCCTGAAGCCCCTTGGGGAGAGGCCAGGACAGCTGCCCTTCCCCAGCGTCCCGTGACTCTTTTGCTCTGAGAGGGTTCCCATCAATGCCTTGTCAGAAGTTACAGAGGCCCGGCAGAAAAAGGGGAAACCGGGCGAGTCTGTTTCACAGTATCCAGTGCCGCTCTTCCACTTATCAGAGAGACCTGCGGTGATGGAGGAAGAGGGGGCTTCCTTGTTTAGCAAGGGGATCCGGCCCCCGCCCCGTACCAAATGCAGAGGCGGAGATACAGATCGCTTTGCTCTTTATTCCCATGGAGATCGAACCCAACGAGGGCCGTCGAGAGTACATCACCGAGTGATCTTTACCGGGGTATCTTGCCTTGAAGGACTCGATGTAGCGGGCGGCGGCAGCATCCTTGATTCCCATCTGCTCCCCTAGTGATTTCGCTCCGATGCCATATATTATTCCGTAGCAAATCTGGAGAATGTAAAACGGCAGAGTACAGCCAGCAAAATCCGAGCCACAGCTTATAATGAACCGATGCACAGAGACGAAGCCTACGACATGACACATGGCCACCCTGAGCCTTCAGGGTAGGGCGGGGTATAAATCCAAGGATAAATAAATATAAATAAATGACGTTGCTGAATCAGACCATCGGTCTATTGAGGTCAGTCTTGTCTACTCAGACTGGCAGTGGCTCTCCGGGGTCTCAGGCCCAGGTCTTTCCTATTGCCTCCTGCCTGGCCCTTTTTAACTGGAGATGCAGGAGATTGAACCTGGGACCTTCTGCATGCCACGCAGACACTCTATCACTGAGCTCCAGCCAGAGTTCCCTCTAAGATGAATTAGTGTGAGCTAGCTCACAGTTTTTTATAGCCTCCGGCTCACACATTTTTGTCTTCGCTCAGGAAGGAGGGCTCCAGAGCAAGCTAATTTATGCAGTTGCAAATCGCTTGCTCACGACTTTAATGCTGGTAGCTCAGAAAGTAGAATCTTTCCTCACGAGACTCCACAGCTTAGAGGGAGCATTGGTCCCAGCCCCTTCCGCTGCTCAAGAAGCACCCTCTCTGTGGCTCGGTTAAATGCACAAGCTCTCAAGATAAGGGGGTGGCTCTCACCAGGGCTGTTTTTTGCTTCGACCAAAGCCAGCAGCCACGAAGAGACCTGTAACTTTGGCTAGAAAGGTACCGCCTGCGGATGGCACAGCAGCCTGCACCAGAAGTCACTTCTGTTGAGTTATACTGAGCTTGCCAATAAGGTTGGGTGTTCTCCAGACACTACCTGCTTGGCCTGCTGCCGTAACTCGTTCCCAACAGCCTCGGGGCCGATCATCTTCCACTCAGCTGCGATGCTTCGGAAGACGTCGGCGTCGCTGTTTAAGACCTGGAGGAGGCGACGATCGCCACACAGGTGAGCCAGGATCCGCAACTCCAGCTGGGAGTAGTCGGCAGCCAAAATCAAACCACCTGCAGCCAATTAAAATCGCCACAATTTTGAAAGTACCCGTCTCCCACAACAAGTGCCTTTCTCGCAACCATTTGTCTATTATCCATATATATAGGGCAGGGGTCTACAACACTGTGCCTGCCAAGTCTTTTTAGAAAGTAGGCCGGGCCAACTGGGGCTTTTGTCCAGCAAGGTGACTGAAGGGCCACCGGAGATTTGATCGGCCGTGCAGACTTTTAAAAACCTTGCTCTGGTGGCAGTTGCCGCCACAGCAGAAGAATTTTCAGGGTGGCAGCCATTTTGTGGCTGGCCCCGCCTCCATTTTGTGTGGCAGAATTCCAAAGGTGCCCACAGGCTCAAAAAAGGTGGGGACCCCTGATATAGGCACCTATTAAGGGCAGCACTACACACCAGAAAAATCTCCAAACATAACTACAGTCCTGTAAGACCAGAGAGAGTCTCTTACAATGTCAGTTTCTTAATGATATACTTAGTGATGCTGCAGGTTTTTGTTTTTTTAAAAAATTGTGTCTGTTGTGGGGAGGCGAAGGGAAAGGAGACCACAAGCAGCTCCAAGACTCCTTTGGGTAGTGAAGGGCGGGGTATAAATCCAATCTCCTCCTCCTTCCGAGCCCTCAACAGCCCCTCTCCCTCCCTCATGCTAGATTTTTTAAATAACTTTTATTAATTGTTAAGTGCACAAAAAAAAAGAGCAATCCAAAAATCTATTATCCCAGAAAACCTAGGTTAAACCTAAATTTTCATGCAATTCCCGTATACCCACAAAACAACTCATATTGACATGTTTGCAGTAGCCTTAGAATTTTAACCAGGTTCTATAATCATTTCTACACGGAAGAACTTCATTGTGTCTCAGAAACCCAATAACTGGCTTCCACATTTCATCATAATCACAGCGTGAAAAAGATAACTGGGAACCAACAAAGAAAAAATTGTTTACTGTTTTCCCCATGATATAAACATCCCAAAGTTTGTCAAACCAGGTATCTATGGAAGGCCCGTTAGGGTTTTTCCAATTAGCTGCAATCACCTGTTGTGCAGCTGCAATCTATATCGAGAGCAAGGGAACATTGGCTCCTGATGCTGCAGTTGATACATCGATACAGGAAGTAGATGTGGTAACGCTTTCTCTGTACCAGCTTTTTACTGGACCACCTCAGACTAAAGGTCCCCTATATCTGAACACTCATAGGAAAAACCGTTGTTGCCTATGGAAGGTGAGCATGTCAGGGAACGGCCATTCTTCCTCACTGTTTGGAAAGGAAAGGGAACAGTCTGTCTGTATGTGGACACACATGCATGCAGTACAATGGCAGGGGCGGAGAAGAGATATTCTCCTTATTCCAGGTACTTCTTGCCGGAGTCCCCAGCCATGGTCACTCTGTTGCAGAACCACTCGAAGGAGGACCACTGCCAGGTAGGGGCCCACATTTGATAAACTTGTAGACATTGTCCTTCTCATTGGCACACAATGAGCGTGGTCCATTTGGAAAAAAGCAAAACGGAAAGCAGACAGCCAAAAGATCAGCGGCATCATAATCGTATAATTTAAACTGGAACCCGCTAGATTTGTTCTTTCAGGTTCCCCGCGGTACCATCTACCAGTTTCTCTTTCAGGGTTTTCTGAAGATTTTATGCACATTTTATTTTACATTGATTAAATTAAGGAATCTAAGAAGCCACCTATGGATACACTATGGATAATTTGTTTTTTCAGGCCAAATCAGTGTTTTGGTTTTTTCAATAATATTTTTTTTCAATAAAACCTTTAATAATAATATAACATATAATAACCCTATAATACAATATAATATATTACATTATATATAATAGAGTGTTCAATAAAACATTTTTCAATAAAATTGTTTTTTTCCAATAAAAACAATAATTTGCTTTTTTTCCAGGCCAAAACACAATTCACGACATTCCCTCCTTTAAGACCTCAGCAGTGCTACGTGAAAATAAAAACAGTAGAGAGAATGATCAGTCTATCAATTTACACCAAGTGTTCCGGAACAGAAGGTTAAAAAACTAGTACAATAATATTGGCACAACAACGGAATACTAAGAATATACCGACTTTGGCACAGTGGTATGATAAAATAGGGGACTCGATGGTCCAGAATAAGATAATCCCACAATTAATACAAGTTGAGAATCCTAATAGGAAAAATATGCTTATAGAGACATGGTACACTTTTTTTTGAGTATATGAATCAAACCACCTGCCAGAACTCCTCAATACCTAAGAAATGTTTTTTTTAGTTATAGCTTGTTTGATAGATAAATACAAAAACTGTCATTATTTGGGGAGGTAATCGATCATGTATTAATGTAGCATGTGTATTGTTTAATATGTTAAATAAAAATAAATTAAAAAAACAGAAACAGAAGGTTAAAAAGAAAAAACAGGATAGGAAATATTTTTGCTATTTATAGTCCGCCTTTCTCATAGGGACTCAAGGCGGATTACACAGAGTGAGTCAGTGAAATCAACAGGATGGGACGTGCAATAGACAGTGCAATAGGATTTGGGTTGTAGAACCCACCAGAAATCTAAAAACCAGAACCGAAGCAAAGCAGAAGCGCTAACATGAGACATTAACCAGGATGCAAAATTAAACAGAAGGATCCAGTTTACAGCAAACTATGCACAGTAGTGTAGACCACAGTCCCTAATAATTTGTCCAAGTAACTTTGTGAAGTATATTTATTTGGTATCCAGAAATGATAACAAACCAGCGTGGACTGAATTAAACACTAGGTCTACCAATATTATTCTGTGCTCAAAATGTAATTTTTGTGTTAAAAAAATCACTGTAGAAATACGATTTTGTTGAGAAATGGTTTCCTTTCTCTGAATTTGGTAACTCTAACCAAAACGATATATATACGTTGCCAAAGAAATATATGGATTTTGTATTTTATTAACTGTGGTTATGCCTTTTCTCCTATTGTAACTATATCATGGTGAACTATCAGTGTGATAACATTGTTTTTGGTTTTGTTAGTAACATTTTAAATGTATTTGTTATATAAGAAAAACAAAAAACATTTTGTTTAAAAAACAAAATCACTGTTTGCCTAGGAGATGGGCATGATTCAGAACATGGCCCCTACACTTTTTAGCTGTAGAATACTACCTAAGGCAATTACAGTTTTTCCTTTCCAAGCACCTTCAATCAGAGCTCAAGGATATGTAGGGATGCCTAGCCTCCAGGCGGCACCTGGGAAGCCCCCCCCCCCCAGGATTATAGCTCATCTCCAAACTACAGAGATCAGTTTCCCTGGGGAAAAAAGGATACCTTGGAGGGCGGACTCAATGGTATTACACCCCACTGAGGTGGTCCCTGTCCCTCCCCAGGCTCCACCCCCAGATCTCCAGGAGTTCCCCAACTAGGGCTGCCAAGTCCCCCCGGGGGGCAGAAATCCCCCC